TCATCATCATCATCATCATCATCAGCATCAGCATCATCATCATCATCATCAGCATAACCATCACCACCACCACCATCATCATCACCATCACCATCGCCATCATCACCATAATCACCATCATCAACATCATCACCATCATCACCAACACCATCATCACCACCACCATCATCATCAGCAGCATCAGCATCATCACCGTTATCACCAGCATCATCAACATCATCAGCATCACCACCACCACCACCATCAGCATCATCATCATCATCAGCAGCATCATCATCAGCACCACCATTATCACCATCATCATCACCATCATCAGCATCACCATCATCAGCATCATCATCATCATCAGCATCATCAGCATCAGCATTAGCATCGGCATCATCAGTATCATCGTCATCATCCTCCTCATCAGCATCACCATCATCATCAGCAGCAACATCATCATCGTCATCATCAGCATCAACATCATCGTCAGCGCCAGCATCATCATCAGCATCAGCATCAGCATCACCACCATCATCATCATCATCATCATCATCATCATCATCAGCATCATCATCATCATCATCAGCATCATCAGCATCATCAGCATCATCATCACCCTCATCATCATACTCAGCATCAGCATCATCAACATCATCCTCATCCTCATCCGCCTGGTCCTCCTCCTCCTCCCTTTTCCGTCCCCCCTCATCCCTCCTCCTCCTCCTCCTTCTCCTCCTCCTATCCTGTTCCTCCTCCTCCTCTTCACCCTCCTCCTTATTATCCGACTCCTCCTCCTACACCGCTCCCTCCTCCATGCGTCCAGCAGCTCCACCTCCTCCTCCTCCTCCTCCTCCTCCTCCTCCTCCTCCTCCTCCTCCTCCCCTCCTCTCCTTCTCCTCCTTCTCCTCCGTATCCTCCTCTCTCCATCTCCTCTCCTCTCCAGCCGCTCCTCCATGCTTCGCGCAGTCAGCCTTCCCTCCCCCTCACCCTCCTCCCCCACATCATCATCATCATATCATAATCATCATCATCATCATCTCATCATAATATCATCATCATCATCAGCATCATCATCATCATCATCATCAGCATCATCATCAGCATCATCAGCATCATCATCATCATCATCATCATCATCATCATCATCATCATCATCATCACCACCATAGTCACCATGATCATCGTCGTTGTCATCACCATCATCGCCCTCACCGACACCATCATCATGATGAGCATCATCATCATCATCATCATCATCATAATCATCATCATCAGCATCATCATCATCCTCATCATCATCTTCATCATCATCATCGTCATCATCATCATCGTCATCATCATCATCATCAGCATCAGCATCAACATCATCGTCACCATCATCACCACCACCACCAACATCATCATCAGCAGCATCAGCATCACCATACTCATCATCATCAGCATCATCAGAATCATCAGCCTCACCCTCACCATCACCATCATCAGCACCATCATCATAACTACCATCATTCCCTCATCATCATCATCGTCATCCTCATTATCATCATCAGTATCATCCTCCTCCTCATCAGTATCATTATCAGCATCAGCATCAGCATCATCATCACCATCAGCATCATCATCACTATCCCCGTCACCACCACCACCACCACTATTATCATCATCATCATCATCATCATCATCATCATCAGCATCATCATCAGCATCATCATCATCATCACCATCATACTCATACTCACCATCATCACAAATATCACAACAACAATCGTTCTCATACTCATGGGCGTGCTCATCACCGCCACTATCACCATCACCGTCACCATCACCACAATCACCATCCGAATCCTCCTCCTCCTCATCATCGCTATAATCACCATTATAATCGTCGTTGTTATCACCATCATCACCGTCACCATCACCATCATCACCAGCATCATCATTATCAGCAGCAGCATCAGCATCATCATCATCGTCATAATCATCATCAGCATCATCAGCATCATCAGCATCAGCATCAGCATCAGCATCATCATCAGCATCATAATCAACATCATCAGCATCATCATCATCGACTCTCCTTCTCCTCCTCGTCCTCCTCGTCCTTGTCCTCGTCCTCGCATCCTCCTCCTCCTCGTGCTAATCCTCGTCCTCCTCCTCCTCCTCCTCCTCCTCGTCCTCCTCCTCCTCCTTCTCCTCCTCCTCGTCCTCCTCGTCCTTCTCGTCCTCCTCCTCCTCCTCCTCCTCCTCCTCCTCCTCCTCCACCCCCCCCCCTCCTCCCCCGAGTGCCGCTGGCTGAAGCGGCGCTGCTGGCATCCCCACCCACAACCACCATCCGAACCCTCCTCCTCACCAGCATCAGCATCAGCATCAGCATCAGCATCAGCATCAGCATCAGCATCAGCATCAGCATCAGCATCAGCATCAGCATCATAGTCATCATCATCATCATCATCATCATCATCATCATCATCACCATAGTCACCATGATCATCGTCGTTGTCATCACCATCATCGCCCTCACCAACACCATCATCATGATGAGCATCATCATCATCATCATCATCATCATCATCATCATCATCAGCAACAGCATCATCAGCATCACCATCATCATCGTCGTCGTAAACATCAGCATTAGCATTAGCATTAGCATCATCATCATCATCATCATCATCATCATCATCATCATCATCATCATCATCATCATCATCATCATCATCATCACCACCAGCATCATCAGCATCATCATCATCATCATCATCATCATCATCATCATCATCATCACCATCTCCATCACCATCACCATCACCATCATCATCATCATCATCATCATCATCAACATCACAGCATCATCATCATCATCAGCATCAGCATCAGCATCAGCTTCATAGCAGCATCAGCCATCAGCATCATCATCAGCATCATCATCATCATCACTCGACTCTCCCCCCCCTTCCCTCCTCCTCCTCCCATCCTCTCCTCCTCATCATCACATCACCATCACCATCATCATCATCATATCATATCATCATCATCATCATCATTCATCCATCCTCACCTCGTCCTCCTCCTCCCTGTCCTCCTCGTCCTCCTCTCTCCTCGTCCTCTCTCCTCGTCCTCGTCCTCGTCCTCCTCGTCCTCCTCGTCCTCCTCGTCCTCCTCTTCCTCCTCTTCCTCCTCCTCTTCCTCCTCTTCCTCCTCCTCCTTTTCCTTCCTCCTTCTCCTCCCCTTCCTCCTCCTCCTCCTCCTCCTCCTCTTCCTCCTCCTCCTCCTCCTCCTCCTCCTCCTCCTCCTCCTCCTCCTCTTCCTCCTCCTCCTCCTCCTCCTCCTCCACCCCTCCTCCTCCCCCGAGTGCCGCTGGCTGCCGCGGCGCTGCTGCCGGCGGGGGGCAGCGGCCTGGGGCCCACCTTCTGCAGGCGCGGCGCCGGCCGCAGCGGCTGCTGCTGCGGGCCCCGCGCGTCCTGCAGCGCCGCCTGCGGCCGCTGCGTCGCCCATGGCGCCGCGGCGGCCGCTGGCGGGCCCTGCTGGGGCGGCGGCGCCGCGGCGGGCGGCCCCGAGGCGAAGGTCGCGCTCGGGCGCGGCGGCGCGGCTGGCCACGGCGCGCTCGTGGGCGTCGCGGAGGACCAGCTGCCACCTGGGCCGCCGCCATGGCCCGGACCGTCCACGGTCCTCGTGACGCGGCCGGAGGCATCAGTCCGCTCTATCAGGACTGTGCCGTCGGGGCGCTTCACCTTCAGGGCGACGAGACCTGTACATGTCCACTGCTCCCTGGCCGGGCCCACCCTGAACCCAGCAGCGGTGTACACGCCACGCCCTCCTGGCTTGCCCAGGAGGGCGTATACATCGCGCCCGGGCCCAGGAGGAGCCTTGCCAGGAGCAGTGGAATGTACCCAAACATGAGACGTCCTGTTTTTTTCACTGCGGCATCCCCGGAAGTCCCGACCCTTTCCCCGGGAACAGTTTTTCATCCCATTTTGACTGTCCCGAGGCCCGGCGAGAACCCACAGAGGCCAAAAATGGCAAACAAACTTCGCGTCCTGATCTTTTAACGACGTGAGCATGTCTGGGTATAGATCTCGTCGCCCTAGTACCTTGGTCACTTTGACGTCCCACCCGGGCGCGCCGCTGGACTTCCGGACGCTGACGGCGTCTGTGCGCGAGAGGCCGAGGCCAAGGCCGGGCCCGTCGGAGAAGTCGGCGAACGGGTCCTGGCCGTTGAAGAGAGAGTCGAACAAGCTGGTCGCCTCTGGACTGTGGACTTCTCGCGAGCGAGTCTGAGAGAGGGAGCGTGACACACACACACACACACACACACACACACGCACACACACACACAAACGCACATGGATCGGAAAAACAATCACATTGCACATGGGCGCAATCCCGACCCCCCCCCAGAGGAACCCCAGACGGATTCAGGGAGACCCCCTCCAGCCGACGCTTGACGTGTCAAACGTCAAAATGCAGACCCCCCCCGCGGGGGTCCAGATGGGTTCGCGGAGACCCCCCCCTGCGCGAGGGTTGAGATTCCAAGAATCCGCCGACCCCTTGGGGTCACGGCGTGTGAGGTGCTTCCCCCTCCCCAAACCCCTCCCCGGGAGCCCGGTCCGGCCGGTTTGGAAAAGGTGTCAGCCGCACCCTTGGAGCCTCAGGGGGCCCCAAAACTGGCCAAGAGGGCCCCAAAAGGCCCTCCGGACGGTCCAAGAGAGCTACGAGTCGCCGAGAGATCGCTCCAAGATGCCCAAGATCGCCTCCAGACGGTCCCAAAGACCCCCAAGACGCCCCAAGAAGCCACCAAAACACGTCCCAAGAGGCCCTCCGGAAGCAAAAACCGTCCCATGCCCTAAGGGGAACGTATATGTTTAGCACATTCGCCTCTTGGACTTCCACGAGGCCCACAACGGCCCCAGAAGCCTTTAAGATCTACCCAAGATAGCGAGGCCCCCAAGAGGGTTCCAAGAGGGTCCCAAGACGGCCCCAGAAGCTTCCAAACCGACCCAGGAGGGCCCCAGGACGGCCCCAAGAGGCCCAGAGGGGGAACCCGAATGAACATTTCGAGCACTCGGCCCCCAAAAAACCTGAGGAGGCGCCAATAAGCCCCCAAGAGGCTCCCACGAGGCCCCCGAGAGGCCTAAAAGAGGCTCCTAGAGGTTTCAAAACGGCCCCCAAGAGGCCTCAAAAGTGCTGCCAGGAGAGCCCAGAGAAGCCCAAGAGCAGAGCGGCGATCCGCCAACCGCCCCCGACGAAATAGACGCTGAAACCCCAAGATTCGCCAAAAATCGTTCTGCAAACTCCGTTTTTCACTCTTACTGCCGCCCCAAGGGGTCGGCGGTGCGGCGTCAGCCAATGAATCAAAAAGCAGACCCCGCCCCCGCGGGTCCAGACGGGTTCGCGGAGACCCCCACCGGCCTGGGCACCCCTCGACATCAAAGTCAGACCTGCCCCCTAACCTCCAAGACAGCCCAAATCAGTCCCCTCCCCAAATCAGACCCCCCCCCCTTATTATTACGGAGCGGGGAGTATACTACCACCCCTCGGGTGATAAGCAGGACGGGGGGAGAGGAAATAATCGACTGCTGGCAACTGCGATGGGTGTGATGACGACGATGCTCCTGGCGCGCCCTCGAGTTGGCGACGACGCGTGATGACGATGTTGCGCCGCGATGTGATGTCACTATAGACCCCGCTATCGACCTCACTCGATCGACCTCACTATCGACCCCGCTACCGATCTTACTTGATCGATTTCGTGAATGATATCTTTATCGATATTACTATCGACTCACTCAAAGGATCTCGCTGTCGATCACACAGTCGATCACACAATCGATCTCACAATCGATCTTGCGATCGATCTTACGATCGATCCCACTCGACCGATCTCACGATCGATCTCACTATCGGTCCCACTATCGATGTCGCTGCTGATCTCGCAATCGACCTCACTATCGATTGTACGATCGACCTCACTATCGATTGTACGATCGATGCAACTATCGATCTCACTGCCGCTCGCACGATCGATGCAACTACCGATCCCACTATCGACCTCACAATCGATCAAACAATCGATCTCACTACCGATCCCCACATCTCGGTCGTTATAGATCTCACGAGCGATCTCACTACCGATCGGGACACCATCGGGACACCACGGCGGGACACCGCGGGACACTGCGAGACATCTCTGGACAACACGAGACACCGTGGGACACCACTGGGACACCGCGTGGCACCACGGTACACCACGGGACACCACGAGACACCATCGGGACACCACGGCTAGACACCGCGGGACACCATCGGGACAACGCGGGACACCACGGCGGGGCACCCCGTGCCACCTCGCGTCCACCGGAGGGCCAGACTTTTGCATCCGACGCCCTAGCGACGGCTGGATCATTCCTCTCGCGCGCTCACGGCGAGACACCGCGGGACACCATCGGGACACCGCGACACACCACGGCGGGACACCCCCAGCCACCCCGCGTCCACCAGAGGGCCGGACTTTTCATCCGAATCGCCCGAGCGACGGCGGGACCATTTCTCCCGAGCGCCCACGACGCTTCGCCTCGCCCGAACGCACGACACGAACACGAAAGCGAAATCGACTTCCCGGTGGGGGGCTCTCCGCTCCACTCCGACCTCACCCCCCCAACGCCTGATATAACCAGCCTCGAACTTATCCCTATTCTTAAAGATCGGCAATCCCAAGGCGATGACAATCTTAGGGATGTGCCCTCAGAAACCGAGGGAATCCTTAAGATCAGGACCGAGGTAAGGAGATGCCAACCATAGGGATAAGGATACGTTTCCGGCGGCAACTGTAACCGTCATAGTCGAGCAAGGCCGAGGCCCATGCAGC